ATGTTTTGCATTGTATTGTTATTGTTCTGTCACATGTTCTGTCCCCCTTTGTAATGTACAGCGCTGAGCAAACTATTGGTGCTTTATAAATACTGTATAATAATAATAATAATAACTTAAATATACAGAAAACATTCCTTAAAACGGAAACCTCCAAAAACTTACGGAATGAGTTGTTGGTCTAGGCAGGCACCCAAAACAATATTGATCTCCCCCTGCGGAACCTTCACCTTAATGTTCCTACTAGGCCTCCAGCCGCAACACACCGACTCGGAGACAAGGACACACCTTCCGCAGGTAGACCTCCACCTTCCAGTTAAACCTCGGTTAACTGGAATTTACCTGGGCACACCCTACCGCCGATGGGTCCCAACCATACACTTATCATCACAAACCATTAACAACCTACCAAGACCAACAACTGCCACCAAACTAAACAAGCCAAACAAGCACCCCAGGGCAGGGCGGGAACTTCTCTCTTCAGCTGCTAACCAGCACTGGCTCGTCCAACCCCCCCAGCACTCCCCCAAGATTCAGGATGATTCCACCCACACCTAATAACACCAATCAGGTAACCTTACTATCTTTTTTAACCCTTCCCCTTTCACTTAACCCTTTCCCATCTTTTCTCCCTCTTCACATAGTCATGTCTGCCCTGCGCTATTCTTCTCTTTCTTTCTCTATGGGCACCCCTGGACTCTGCTAAGGATATTCTGTTAAAATGCAATTTTTATGGAATAATCTGAATAAATGTGCAGGTTTAGAATTGTTTATAATCCCCGTTATTTGGCTCTACTTACTCGTTTAGGTATAAAAGTCCTTTCACACATGCTTGTCAGTTTTTCAGGTGGACCTGATGGAAATCTCTGCTCAGCTTTGTGAGCATGCGGATGTAAATGGACATCTGCCTACCTCCAATTCAGTCTAGGTCTGGACGTCCTTTTATTTTTTTCTGGACAAGAAGGTAGTCTATTTACATCGATGCAGACAAAAAAATGAACAGGCATCTGCTGGAGTGCCAAAGTGTACCGGTCTCACCACACTTTTTGAATAGAGCACCCATTCCGCTGTCTTTGTAGCCATCAGATTGGACACTTGTCTCCTGGCTAGAGGCCTGCACACACATTGCTGGCCTGAGGCCTCACACTTGAAAAAAGAGAAATGTCCACACATAGATGCATTTTCAGCACTTTACTGTAACTTCATGTTTCTTCCATAACACATCACACTTGACGTACTGCCTGAATCTTTGGTGCAGAACTCCATGTGCAAGGTTAGACATTCTGTAGCAGTCAATTACAACGCACAGCACAACTCAGATGTGTTAGCCATCTTTCCCATAGAATTGGGACCACTTCTCAACGTATGCTAAGTCCACAACCTTGGGCTTCCATCATCAGGTCACAGGACCCACAGCTGAGGGTTAGGGGGACACAGTGCTTCCATTAATATACCATTCTCTTCCCAATCTCTTCCCTTCTATTGTATTGCCCAGCCAGGCATTCTCCCAAATGACATGCTTATTCCTAAGGCTTCCACCTCTATTCACATATGAGGACTGTGTCCATGCCCCTCGTTATAGGACCTGCAGAAGAAGGTCAGGAATTACAGTTTGACTCCAGCTATTCCTCACATCTTCTGTACCACCTTGCCTGGGAATTCAGCCCTGCACAGGGCCCTTTAAATCAGCTCTGCGTGGGTCTACATTTTAGCACCTCTGGGGTGTCCTGTTTCCATACCCTGGACTCTCTGGACTAGCCATTCTCAACTTTTTCAACAAAGAAAAACCCTTGAAATAACTTTCTGGTCTCAAGAAACCCTTGCTAAAAATTACTATATGTAAAACTCATGATTCATTAGTGAGATGGTCAGTGCTCTTTACACTTGTGATCATTGGGAAGAATTACCCCCTTACAGATAGCTAAAAAGATCAATGGAGTTAGTGGGAACCTATATGAGAGACAGAAATTGCTCAAGGAACCCTTGGTAACCTCTGGAGGAACCCTGGTTGAGAAACCCTGCTCTGGACCCTTACCGACAGCTGGCATTTATATGGGCACTAACTCCACCCATTACATCACTAGAGGAGGGACTTCTCTAAAAGGGGAGCTAACACCTGTTTACAACTTTCCCCCTATCATGACATACAGTAATGGCAACAGAACCAACTAGTGGCAGGCAAGCTAACTGCACCAGCCAACACATGGATATCACAAAACTTAGGGGGATTAACTCACAGAGCGGATCACCAAACATGTGAAAGGACCCCAATTTTAGTCCCTAAGAACTATATATCTGCACCTCCTCCCTTGGCCAATTGAGAAACTCCCACGACTTCAACTACCATCTCTATGCTGACGACACACAAATCTATCTCTCTACCCCTCAGCCCCTCAGTCTCCAATCGCATCACCAGCCTACTAAGTGATATATCGGACTGGATGTCACTCCACTTCCTCAAACTCAACCTTTCCAAAACTGAGCTTTTAGTATTCCCCCCAGCCCGTGCCCCCCCCCCCCCCGACTTCTCCATCAAGATCAACAACACTACCATCAGCCCCACCCCTCACGCCAGGGTACTAGGTGTAATCCTAGACTCCCATCTGTCCTTCAGCCCCAAATCCAATCACTGACAAACTCATGCAGACTTCACCTCCCCAACATCTCCAAGATACGACCGTTCCTAACCTTGGAAACCACTAAGCAAACTCATTCACTCCCTTGTTATATCACGCCTTGACTACTGTAACTCCCTCCTCACTGGCCTACCTCACCGCAGGTTATCCCCACTACAGTCCATCATGAATGCTGCTGCCAGACTCATCCACCTTACTAACAGCTCTATATCTGCCACCCCTCTCTGCCAATCCCTCCACTGGCTTCCAATTGCCCAACGATCAAAATTCAAAACACTAACACTGACGTATAAAGTCGTTCATAACACTGCCCCTAATTACATCACTGACCTTGTCTCTAAATACCACCCAAACCGTACTCTCCACTCCTCGCAAGACCTCCTACTCTCTACCTCCCCTGTCTCCACCTCCCATGCTCATCTCCAGGATTTCTCAAGAGCTTCACCCATCCTCTGGAACTTCCTACCCCAAGCTATAAGGCTATCACCTACTCTGCTCACCTTTAGGTGCACTCTGAAAACCCATCTCTTCAGGAAAGCCTACCCCGCCCCCAGCTAATACTGGAATCCTCTACTCTTCCAACCACTCCATCCCCCACAGCTAATTACCTCTTGTACCACTATCCCCTCCCTCCTAGATTGTAAACTCCAAGGAGCAGGGCCCTCTATCCCTCGTGTATTGAACTGTATTGCTACAGTACTGTCTCCCTCCATAATGTAAAGCGCTGAGCAAACTGTTGGCGCTATATAAGTCCTGTACAGGGGTGGACTGACCATTTGGAAACTCAGGCACTGCCCGAGGGCCAGGGGTCAGTAGGGGGCCCCATGAGATGCCCCTGGTACCTTTTTCATAGGCTTTTTTGAGTTTGGGCAAGGACACAGGGGCCCCATGATCCCCTATTGCCCGGGGGCCCCATGAGTTGTCAGTCCGCCCCTGGTCCTGTATAATAATAATAATATTTGCCACACTTTTCAGACACACAGGCAATCTTTTTTACCCATCTTTCATTCATAAAACTAAGGGACAAGAAAACTACCTCCCAACAGTAAAAATCAATATAGCACTGATAAAAACTGTTACATTCCTCTATTTGCTCATGTTTGCCATGAAAGGCTGTTTAAAATTAGTTGAAATTGCCCAATACAGGACAAAGTTTGAGTTGAGAGATTTAAGTCTAATGCTGGCCATACACGTGGAAATTTGACAGAGCAATCAAATGTTTGATTAAATTTTTCATGGCAATCACTAAGCAATTGAAGACACAAAATGGGATTGAAATCTAATTTAATTTAACCCACAAAAAATGTGATGACTTTGAAAGACATTGCGGTAGTTTTCTCACATTTTTCATACAATCTTTTAACAAACTGTAATGAAGCTGATTAGATAAGATGGTCTCTTTCTGCTAGGAGAGAGGAAGAAGGAGCATCTTTTCTTTTCCTGGTTCACACTGTTGTGATTTATCATGCGACTTGCGACACATAAACACATTCATTTCATGGGACTGTGTAATTTGTGACCTAGGGACGCTGTAATGGGGACTGGGGCTGTGTGACTGGGGGGATTTGCAGTGGGAGTGCTATGTGATTGAGGGACTCTGATGTGATAGGGGGACTTATGTATAGGGGGCTTTTGATGTATAGGTGTGACTCAGATGCTGCGAAGTGTTCTCATGTATAGGGGGCCTTTGATGTATAGGCGTGACTCGGATGCTGTGAAGTGTTCTCATGTATAGGAGGGCCTCTGATGCATAGGGATGACTGTGAAGTGAAAGGGGGATTCCAATGTAATGGGGGAGCGGGCTCTGATGTGATCGGAGAACCTCTGATGAAAAGGGGAGCTTCTAATGCAGGGTTTCTCAACCAGGGTTCGTCCAGAGGTTGCTAGGGGTTCCTTGAGTCATGAGCAATTTCTGCCTTTCGGGTAAGTTTCCACTGACACCTTTTATCTATCTGTAAGGGGTGATTCTTCCAAATGACCACAAGTGTAAGGAGCAATTTTCCCACTGCCCATCACACTAATGTATCATGAGTTGTAGATATTGTCATTTTTAGAGGGATTCCCTGATACCAGAAAGTTATTTCAAAGGCTCCTCTGTGTTGAAAAGGCTGAGAAAGTTTTAGTTTGAAGTTAATTTAATCAAGCCAGTTGTGTGCATTGTTCCCTTTTGTAACATTTATGTTTTTTAAATTTTAAACTTGAGATTTTGTATGCTTTTAAAGGGTGCCGTAACCAAAAAAAAGATTGAGAAATGCTGGTTTAACGGACTGTGCTGCCAAATACTAATTTTGACATAATTTTATTAATCGGATTTCTGAGACTGGTGCTTCATTACTGTCCCTATTTCCTATCATTGTCTTCCAGCTGAGCCTGAGTTCACAGACTGCCCTGAGAAATTGGTGTGGCTTGATGGACAGGAGAACAGCTTCCACTGCAAGGCCAAAGGATACCCCCTACCCACCGTGACCTGTGAGAAGAATAACACCATCTATAAGGATGAAGAGAAATTCGCAGTGATGAGAAATATGTCTGGAGAATATATTTGTAGAGCTACAAACTTTGACACAGTCATGAAACCAGTAACGGTGTCTGTAGAGTGTAAGTATTGGACAGAGCTCTGGCAATGGTTGGGATTGGATGGTTTCTCTTGAATGTAGGAATTAAAGATGAACTCTGAAGGGTAGGACTAGAGACATTTGGTCTAAGTTGTGCTTTCATGGTAGGAACAGATTTCTGTGGGTATAAGTATTATTGTTACATATAACAAGCTCTTTGTCCAATCATATTACTGCAGCCAGAACCTAGAAAGCTAAGTGCTCTTTTGAGTTCCTGGTCTAAAACTTCATTCTCATCACAATTACAGGCCTTAGAGGTCACACATTTATGTATATTGGTTCTTGCGTTGTTTGTTGTGTCAAGTGAAGGAAACCTCTCCTGAGACAAACATGGAGGTCACCATTGCCAGCTACCTGGCTGTCATGTTGATCCTACAGTATTTAAACTTAAAATAAATGAGCTATTTCTTTAAATGCAAAATTAATCCTTACTGCTACCTCATAACTTTAAAAAGACAAAATAATATACAATCCATGTAAACAGTTACTAGTGCAAGTCAAATACTAAAATGTAAAAAATGTTGCAATAAACTAGGGGGTTATGGTTAGAGATGAGCGAATCGAACTCGGCGAAGTGGAATTCGTTTCGAATATTAGGAAAATTTCGATTCGCGACGAATCCGAAAATTAGCAGACTTCGGATGCACGAATCGAAATTTCTCCTAAAATGGCGGCGACATGTGCGGCGACGGAGCGGGGATGTCTGGGAAGGCGCGCAGACAAGGCGCGCTGACCCATAATGCATTCATTCATGACATGTGATCGCATTAGCCAATCAGCAGCCAGCCAGCCAGCACTGTGTAATGGTCGAGCAAAAAATGGCGGCCATTTTAGAATTCTCCATTTGCCTCCAGTCATTCAAGAGAGGCAGACCTGGCTGTATTGAGGGACAGAGTTAGGGACACAGAAACGTTACTTAGGGCCAGAGAAACGTTACTTAGGGCCAGAGAAACGTTACTTAGGGCCACAGAAACGTTACTTAGGGCCACAGAATCGTTACTTAGGGCCACAAAAACGTTACTTAGGGCCACAGAATCGTTACTTAGGGCCACAGAAACGTTACTTAGGGCCACAGAATCGTTACTTAGGGCCACAGAAACGTTACTTAGGGCCACAGAATCGTTACTTAGGGCCACAGAATCGTTACTTAGGGCCACAGAAACGTTACTTAGGGCCACAGAATCGTTACTTAGGGCCACAGAAACGTTACTTAGGGCCACAGAATCGTTACTTAGGGCACACAGAAACGTTACTTAGGGCCACAGAAACGTTACTTACGGCCACAGAAACGTTACTTAGGGACACAGAACCGTTACTTAGGGCCACAGAAACGTTACTTAGGGACACAGAATTGTTACTCAGGGACAGACACAGAATTGTTACTGAGGGACACAGAATTGTTACTGAGGGACACAGAATTGTTACTCAGGGACAGACACAGAATTGTTACTCAGGGACACAGAATTGTTACTCAGGGACAGACACTGAATTGTTACTCAGGGACAGACACAGAATTGTTACTCAGGGACAGACACAGAATTGTTACTGAGGGACACAGAATTGTTACTGAGGGACACAGAATTGTTACTCAGGGACAGACACAGAATTGTTACTCAGGGACAGACACAGAATTGTTACTCAGGGACAGACACAGAATTGTTACTGAGGGACAGACACAGAATTGTTACTGAGGGACAGACACAGAATTGTTACTGAGGGACACAGAATTGTTACTGAGGGACACAGAATTGTTACTCAGGGACAGACACAGAATTGTTACTCAGTGACAGGGACACAGAATTGTTACTGAGGGACACAGAATTGTTACTCAGGGACAGACACAGAATTGTTACTCAGGGACAGACACAGAATTGTTACTGAGGGACACAGAATTGTTACTGAGGGATACAGAATTGTTACTGAGGGACACAGAATTGTTACTGAGGGACACAGAATTGTTACTCAGGGACACAGAATTGTTACTCAGGGACAGACACAGAATTGTTACTCAGGGACAGACACAGAATTGTTACTGAGGGACACAGAATTGTTACTGAGGGACACAGAATTGTTACTCAGGGACACAGAATTGTTACTCAGGGACAGAAACAGAATTGTTACTGAGGGACACAGAATTGTTACTGAGGGACACAGAATTGTTACTCAGGGACAGACACAGAATTGTTACTGAGGGACACAGAATTGTTACAGGGACACAGAATTGTTACTGAGGGACACAGAATTGTTACTGAGGGACACAGAATTGTTACTCAGGGACAGACACAGAATTGTTACTCAGGGGACACAGAATTGTTACTGAGGGACACAGAATTGTTACTGAGGGACACAGAATTGTTACTCAGGGACACAGAATTGTTACTCAGGGACAGACACAGAATTGTTACTGAGGGACACAGAATTGTTACTCAGGGACACAGAATTGTTACTGAGGGACACAGAATTGTTACTCAGGGACACAGAATTGTTACTCAGGGACACAGAATTGTTACTCAGGAACAGACACAGAATTGTTACTCAGGGACAGACACAGAATTGTTACTCAGGGACAGACACAGAATTGTTACTGAGGGACACAGAATTGTTACTGAGGGACACAGAATTGTTACTCAGGGACACAGAATTGTTACTCAGGGACAGACACAGAATTGTTACTGAGGGACACAGAATTGTTACTGAGGGACACAGAATTGTTACTCAGGGACAGACACAGAATTGTTACTGAGGGACACAGAATTGTTACTCAGGGACACAGAATTGTTACTCAGGGACGACACAGAATTGTTACTGAGGGACACAGAATTGTTACTGAGGGACACAGAATTGTTACTCAGGGACACAGAATTGTTACTCAGGGACACAGAATTGTTACTGAGGGAACACAGAATTGTTACTCAGGGACACAGAATTGTTACTCAGGGACAGACACAGAATTGTTACTCAGGGACACAGAATTGTTACTGAGGGACACAGAATTGTTACTCAGGGACAGACACAGAATTGTTACTGAGGGACACAGAATTGTTACTGAGGGACACAGAATTGTTACTGAGGGACACAGAATTGTTACTCAGGGGGACACAGAATTGTTACTGAGGGACACAGAATTGTTACTGAGGGACACAGAATTGTTACTGAGGGACACAGAATTGTTACTCAGGGACAGACACAGAATTGTTACTGAGGGACACAGAATTGTTACTGAGGGGACACAGAATTGTTACTGAGGGACACAGAATTGTTACTCAGGGACACAGAATTGTTACTCAGGGACACAGAATTGTTACTCAGGGACACAGAATTGTTACTCAGGGACACATTGTTACTCAGGGAATCGTTGAATTAAAGAGTATGTCAGACAACATGCAGAGGAGTGGCAGAGGAGGCAATGTTTTAGGAGTGAGCAGACGTGGCAGCAGAGGAAGGGGTCGAGGCAGCACTAGTCGCAGCCAGAGGCCATTGCTCCCGGTGTCATCCAGCGGTCGTGTCTCCACCGACAACCCTGCCGTCATCGATTGGTTGGCTCGGTCGTCTTCCTCTTCCCAGGTCACCTCTGACACCTACAGCCAACGGTCGGTGGGTACGTCAGACACAACCGTTAGTTGGCATGGCCCGGGAGCAAGCCCACTGAAATCACGTGTCCTCTACCTGCCCCTGTCCTTTGGTGTTTCCCTCACCAAGCGAAGTATCGCATGCTGTGGGCTCAGCCCCACTGTACAGTGAGGAAGAGCTAACAGAGGGCGGTCAGGAACGGGGGGAGACATCCGCCTCTTCAGCAGCCAGGCGAAGAAGTAGTAGTGGCGAGGAGAGTGGCTCGGTAGCCGGTCTAGAGACAGGTCTGTCTCCTGACCCACACGCAGCCGAGGGGGCTAGTAGTGAAAAGGCGGAGACCCTAATTGATGATGATGAGGCTGATCGCACTTGGCAGCCTCGTCGTCATCAGGCTATTGCTTCCGCATCATCAGGAGAAGAGGGTGGCAGCTTGGCAGCGAGCAAAACAGTCGGTGGGTTGCCCAGGAGGCAGCAGGGTCAGCAGCAGTGTCAGTGGAGGCAAACGGCCACGGAGAGTAGAGCACCAGCTCCACTGCAGCCTACCACCACGGCCAGTAGTGGTGCCGGTGTGCACGGAGGAAGTAGCAGTCAGCCAGTGAGGAGTATCGGGGGCAAAGTTTCCTACTCGGCGGGGTGTGGCAATTTTTCGTCAAGCCGCCGAGGAGGAAGTAAACGTAGCCGTATGTCGACTATGTGGCCAGAAAAAGTCAAGCGTGGCCAGGGGGCCCATGTTGGGACTACAGCGTTGCGGCAGCATATGCAGCGTCGCCATTTGGTGGCCTGGGAAAACCGTGATAAAGATACGGCGGTTCTGCCTGCCCCAGCCCCAGCCCCCGCTCCATCACCCGCTCCGTTACTTGCTCCGTCACCCGACGTCAATCGCCCTCTATCAGCCAGTCAAGGCTCCAACACCTCTGCTGAGGGGGAGTTGTCGCTCGTTGGCATCTTCCGCTCGTTCAGATGCTCCTTCTCCTGCTACTCCTCTTCACGGATTCCGTCAGCAGTCTTTCTTGGGAATCCGTTTCCAAGAGACAACAGTTTGCGAGCACGCACCCGACGGTGCAAAAGCTGAACGTCCTCCTGTCCAAGTTGCTGGTGCTGCAGTCCCTCCCTTTCCAAGTGGTGGACTCAGCACCTTTCCGAGAAATGATGGCTTGTGCCGCGCGCCGCGGTGGAGAGTGCCAAGCCGTCATTTCTTCGCCAAAAAGGCAGTGCCAGCCCTGCATTCACATGTAGAAGAGATGGTGGGCCAGTCTTTGAGCATGTCGGTCTCTGCCAAAGTGCACGGCAGCGCCGACGTGTGGAGCTGTAACTACGGTCAGGGACAGTACATGTCATTTACGGCCCACTGGGTGTGAACGTGGTGCCGGCACAGCCGCACCAGCAACTTGGACAGGTCACGCCGCTTTTGCC